AGTTAGGGTTGGGGGTAGTGGTTAAGGGAAGCCGGACGTTTTCCCGAATGGACACTTGCCCGATACATTTGTCCCATCCGGGCAATTGTCCATTCCGGCGTTTGTCGCATTCGGGCAAGTGTTAATTCGGGCATTTGTCCTATTTGGTCAATTGTCCATTCGGGCGTTTGTCGCATTCGCGCAAGTGGCCTTTCGAGAAAACGACATTCTGGCAAGTGTCTTTCGGGAAATAATTGTAGACCCGTGGTCAAGATCCAATTTAATGGACAAAAAAGAACGACCCCCTATTAGTGTAACAGCTTCACGAAAGAAAATAGTGTTATATAATCTTTAATCAGCCTTAATAAGAAAGTGCCTCAACATCTTCCGTGATCTCGTCTTAAAGTATCGAATGGCCTTCAGTCGGTTTAATTTTCGCCAGACTCGTTGGCGCGTCTCCAAAAAAAAAAAAAAAAAAAAAACATCATAAGTACTACAGAACTGATGCACCTGTATGTGGCTCTACCCAATGGGGCAGGCCCTAGAGCAGGGGTTCCCAACCTTTTTTTTTACTCTAGAGCACATTCTAAAATATAGGTAGTGTGGCGGGCACCACCTATGTTAAATCGACAAACTCCTTTCATAACTTGTCATTTTCCCATAATTTATTTTCTTATTTTCTTATGTTCTTGTAGTCATAATGGATTAATAAATAATAAACAAAAATGTTTCAAAATAATAAAATGATTTGGCATTTTTTTCAAATAGCATACACACAGAGAAATGTATTTACAAAACGTTAAGAAAGTAAACAAAACACATAAATACAAAGGAAACATTTAATTAATCGGCACCAGTCAAAAATAGTTCCTTAAACAACTCACCATCAATGAAAGTTCTCTTCTTTCTTGCGAGCATGTGAGATATTTTGAAAGAAGCAATAGTGGCCTTTTTAGAATTTTCCACATGTCTAGTGAAAACAGTAAGTTGTGCTGTCAGACTTGATTTTAGATTCCATTTTTTTTTTCTTTTTTTACTTCAGATTTAAGAGGATAATTTACATTAAAAGTGCCATGATTTGTCTGAAAGTATAGTTCAACGTTATGTTTTTTTTTCGGCACTGCAATGCTACTACCACACAACAAACAAACGCATTTATTTTTCAAATTAACGAAACGATATGATTCCTCCCAGTCAGTGTTAACATTATAAGCTTTTAGCCTGTTAATTTTTTTATAGAAAACTCCTAATTCGTGTTTCGTCCGACGAACATTTCTCTTATCTAACTGTCGCGACCCGAACAGGGCAGCAATCACAATGACAACAACGCGGTTCCAGGCGGGGAATACCTTTTGCACATCACTCCATGTACACGCGGAAAACCCGAAGTGAGCCGATGATCGCCGAAGCAATCAGAGTTATGTGACTTCGGCGATTATCGGATCAGTTCGTGGCGTTCGTTCCATTCGTTCACTTCGGGTTTTCTGCGTGTACAATGTGTGATGTTCAAATGACACTAGCCGTTCCAGGCTAGCGTAATAAAGCAGTCTGGCTCGCCGCTAGACAAGTTGGGACAAGTATCAAACATATTTAATAAACCTAGGCAGTCAAAAGAAAGTTAAAACTGTAAAAAATAAATAAAAATAAATCATATTTTAAAATAATGTTTATGAAATAAATTCTGTCTCTGTTGAATAGTGAGAGGCGGGCACATACGAATCGTTCAGCGGGCGCCATGGCGCCCGCGGGCACAGGGTTGGGAACCCCTGCCCTAGAGAGGTAATTAATCTGCTTCATGCCCTCTGTCACTGCCCAACTAGGAAGTGGGGAAAACCAACATACGAGACCCACTAGCTTGCATCACGGCCGGGTACACCGTACAATAAGGTGTTGTCCATAAATGGTCTCACATTCTAAGGTGTATCTAATTGTAATCGTGCAACAACAAACAATCGAGATTTTTGCAACTCGCGACGTTTTACACCTCCATGAGTCGGAAGAACATTGTTTTGCTATCTTGTCCGTATTTCTCTCTGTGTGTGTGTGTGTTAACACGATAACTTGAGTACCGTTACAGCTAGGTTGATGAAATTTCATATATAAGTATTATATCAAATTTGTAGATCCTGATAAACTTTTTAGCGATTTCCGATAACCGGAAGTGTAGCTTTTTCTACTTTCAATTGTTCAAAAGCCTATAACTTGAGTACTTTTTGGATAGATAAATGAAATTTCACATTTAGGTAAAAGATCTAATTCTCTGCCTTCTGTCAAATTTTAAGTAATTCCCGTTCTCCGGAAATAGTAATTTAGGCTATTTCCAATTTCTCAAATAACGCATGTGAATCTATAAAGTACTAATAATATTCCGCACTATTATACACATTTTATTTGGCGTTCACTTGGTGTGTAATTCTTTTTTCTACGAGATTTTATTCTATTATAAAAAGTTTAAGTATTTAAAATTGATTAAAAATCATGTCTATATCCCGAGTTGCCATCCCCTGTTGTTTCATATAAGAATATTCCAGAAAGTTTAGGGGAGATCACTCCCGGTTTATTTTAAGTTTAAGTAATTAAAAAAATGGATTTAAAATATTGTCTATATCCAGAAATGCCATCCCCTGTAGTGTTATATAAGAATATTCGAAAAACTTAAGGGGGGATCACTCCCGGTTTATTTTAAACTTGTTTTACTAGTTATATGTAACTTATAAGTAACTTCCTCCTTCGTCTTTCCACCCACGTTCTCAAAAAGACGGCGTTAGATCTAGCAAATCTTACAATTCTACATATGGCATTGACAATTAACAACGAAACTATTCAAAGGATGAACTCATCTGTTCAATAATTATGTAGCACTTGAAAATGAAACTATACAAATGCTGAACGAAGAGTAAGCCCGTATCGAAATAGACGCTTACGTGGAATTACACATCACTTCCTAGTTGTGTTACACTCATGATCCAGGTGGTAATACGATGTTACTTCATCGGTAATACGATGTTACTTTATCATCATCATCATCATTATCATACACACAATTATAATAATCATCATCAAAACATCAAAATAAAAATCATCATCAACGTCCTCATCATCCTCATCATCATTATCATAGACATCATCATGATCATCATCTTCATCATTATCATCATCATTCCTGTGGATCCCTCGTGGAACATAGAGGCGAACCACACCTTTCCATTGTACTCGATTCAGGGCGATTTCTCCATGTTCCTTAATATGGTATACTTTTGTAAATGTATTCTTATATTGAACGTTATTGATGTCTATGTGGAACCGTGGGACGTCTTGATACCACTGTCTGTCTGTCTGTCTGTCTGTGTGTCCGTCAGTCCGTCCGTTCGTCCGTCCGTCCGTCCGTCCGTCCGTCCGTCTGTCTGTCTGTCTGTCTCTCTGTCCGTCCGTCCGTCCGTCCGTCCGTCCGTCCGTCCGTCCGTCTGTCTGTCTGTCTGTCTGTCTGTCTGTCTGTCTGTCTGTCTGTCTGTCTGTCTGTCTGTCTGTCTGTCTGTCTGTCTGTCTGTCTGTCTGTCTGTCTGTCTGTCTGTCTGTCTGTCTGTCTGTCTGTCTGTCTGTCTGTCTGTCTGTCTGTCTGTCTGTCTGTCTGTCTGTCTGTCTGTCTGTCTGTCTGTCTGTCTGTCTGTCTGTCTGTCTGTCTGTCTGTCTGTCTGTCTGTCTGTCTGTCTGTCTGTCTGTCTGTCTGTCTGTCTGTCTGTCTGTCTGTCTGTCTGTCTGTCTGTCTGTCTGTCTGTCTGTCTGTCTGTCTGTCTGTCTGTCTGTCTGTCTGTCTGTCTGTCTGTCTGTCTGTCTGTCTGTCTGTCTGTCTGTCTGTCTGTCTGTCTGTCTGTCTGTCTGTCTGTCTGTCTGTCTGTCTGTCTGTCTGTCTGTCTGTCTGTCTGTCTGTCTGTCTGTCTGTCTGTCTGTCTGTCTGTCTGTCTGTCTGTCTGAATTTCCCATATAAGCATGAAATTGTATGCGCAAGTTCCTGTTATCTTTGGTGTGAATTACGGTAACTAGAAGTGGTATTTTAATCTCTTTACGTTGCGGGCACTATTATTAGTTAGGTAGAAATTCTATAATTCAATCTTATACTTAGATTATTATTTGAGAGGCCTCCAACATCCGGTAGTTATACATCACTCTTTTGCCTGTTTCTAAAAACCAATAATTCAATTAAAATCATATCAAAAGACAAACCGAATATCAAACATGCGCCATAGAAAGAGTCCTCACATGTTGGTGTGTCAGTCTAGCCACATCATCGCATCTAAATCATTCCCCTTAACACGTGGAGTTGTCAAACATTACACTAAAAAGTCTCTTCTACACTGATACGTCATGCCACGAATTAAAGACAAAACACGTAATGGTTGAAGGGGGAGGGTGGTAATCGTGATGTGGACGTCCAGGTTTTGGAAACTGTGATCATATACAAGGAAGAAGGAACGGTGTGGTCGAAAGGTAGAGCGCTTGGCTGCCAGCCAATCTCGAGTTGTTCTGATCTCAGTTCGGACTTGTGACTGTATGACGTCCCTAAAATCACTCAGCTCTAATGGGTAACTAACTGACGTTGGCATAGAGCTGACCACACCACCTCTTCATATGCGGAGGTCAAGAAAGATATGAACTCTACTTCATCTGCACAATAGATCGCTAGGCCTATAAAGAAATCTTTACTTTATACAAGGAATTCATGACCAGGAAGTTCAAACCAACTAAAAATATTTTTTATGCATTTGTTGAGCAAAAGTCCTATTTGTAGGTTATGGTTTTCTTCCTGAAATCCGAGGGCGTAAAGTCTTACATCACACAAAAAACCGGATTAAAATACACAAAAGATTTTTTGATGATGACGTAATTGATGGGAGGGGGGAGATTGTCTCGCATGGGTGATTGTTCCAGGTGTGGCTTGATATTCAACACGTGACTTCCTGATTCCCACTCAACGTCCTACTGTAACTTAGATGCGACATTTGTATAAATAGGGTAGATGCTGCCTGAGAACTTCACATCAACACACAGGTAGATCACAGGTAGATCACAGGTAGATCACAGGTAGATCAACGTTCAGAAGTAAATTCAGAACAAGCATTTTAAAAGTAAGTTACAAAGACCTGGATCTGTGTGGCAGATGTATTTAATCATATATATATATATATATATATATATATATATATATATATATATATATATATATATATGTGTGTGTGTGTGTGTGTCTGTGTGTATGTGTGTATGTGTGTGTGTGTCTGTCTGTGTGGGTGTGTTAGTGTGTATTCAGATTTTAGTGTAACATTTCTTTTCGAAAACCTTTATGAAACAACCTACTTCCATAAGTCGCAGTTACGATGGGTACCCAGCATTAGTTCGGACGAGTGGCTTGTATTTTTGTTTTGTGTTGCTCAAATAACAACATGTTAAGTGTTGTCAGATTTAATGGGTTGTCATTTGTTTTAAGAACATTTCGATGAACAGGAAAGGGTTCTAAATCATAATTTAGTATTGTATAGTATAGCACCACATATTAATCTGTAGAGCATAATATCACGTTTTTTATCTGTCTGTTCTAGATGACACCACAGATTCTGATCCTCGCCTTGACCATCGGTCTGGCACTGTCCGTCCCATCCTCCAACAGATGTCCCCAGCCAACCGCAACCAACCCCACCCCCGCAGCCTTCCTGTACGGCAGCCCCGACGACTGCCAGACGTTTTTCATGTGTAACTATGGCAACCCTATCCGTATGTCATGTCCAGCCACGACCACCTTCAATGAGCTCCACCAGACGTGTGTCAACAGGAACAGTGAATTCGACACGTGCACGAGTGCGTACTTTAACCACATCAATCACACTGAATTATAGTTGAATTTTTAAATTTTGATATTCTGCGTTGGTATCAGATGTAATCTAACCTTCACATTCAACATATCCTTAGCCCTAATCGTTAGCCCAAAATGAAGCATTTACTTTTTTTTGGGTTAAACCTGAATTAATAAAAATTACAAAACAAAGTAAGATACTTCTTGTTTTGTACATTAAAAATTGGATCAATGAACTTCGCTAGCTACCCTAGTGTGTTGTAGCGCAATTTTAAAAAGAGATAGTGAATCCAGTCTATCAAGTTTCACTTAAGCTATTTTAAACTAATCAATGAAAATTTAGAAAGCTTACACTTATATGTGTTTTTTTAGAAGTGGACAAACATAGAGAAAAATGAAACATATCGTTTGTTGCTTATTTTAATTGTAACCATGTTTATTTTACTATTTTCCTCAGCCTATATTTTATGTTTGTTTTCTTTAGGCCCAAGCGTGCCCGTCCCATCCTCCAACAGATGTCCCCAGCCAACCCAAGCCAACCCCAACCCCTACCATTTCCTGTACGGGAGCCCCGACGACTGCCAGACTTACTTCAACTGTGACCACGGCAACCCTATCCGTATGTCATGTCCAGCCTTGACCACGTTCAATGAGAGGCTCCAAGTTTGTGTCCATAAGGGTAGCATCTTCGACACCTGCACACGTAAGTTCGATCTTTGATCTCATCGATTCAATTATAAACTACTGTAATCAATAATAATTAGACAAGTGTCTTGCTTCAATGTAGTAGATCTACAAATACGTTAATCACATCCATCATTTCCATCACGATCATGGCATCCATGACATCCTTGACATCCATCACATCCATGAAATCTATGCCTTCCATAACATCCATCACATCCATAACATCCATGACATCCATGACAGCCATCATATCCATGACTTGCATAACATCCATCACATCCATAACATCCGTCACATTCATCACATCCATCACATGGATGTTAATGCTATTAGATCGATACAAATATGATCAATATCTCTTTCTAGGTTAGAGCTCAGTTTAATTTCGCTGGAGAACGTCCTAGGAAACTTCAGCCAAATGACCTGATTGATGGAATTTCCTCCATATACAAGATAACATATTTCGCCACGTTCATAAGAAATCCTTCTCTTTTACATTAATTTTCTTATTGTTTTTTCCTATTCGTTTTTTTTTCAGCTCGACAATCTAATTAATTGTTTGTTATTTATTTTGAACTAAAAATAATTTGTATTTAAAAAAAAAGGAAATAAAGAACCTACTATTGTAAACCCGTTTTAGTTATTATATTATTTTTCATAAATAAATTAATAAAAAAAAAACATTATTCAACTAGAAATAGTCCTATTATTTCATGATTTTACTTTGAAAAATTATGAATTAGAAATATTTTTCGCGGGACAAATATACAAACGTATCACACTAGCAGGGACGATGTGGCCTAGCAGTACAGCGCTAGATTGCTAACCTGAAAGGATAGAGTTCGAATCCGGGTTCAGGTTAGTGGAACGTCCCGTAGGTCCACCCAGCAATGATTCGTACTGATCTCACACCGGTAAAGTAAACTCCACTTCCGGGAAGTAAAGGCGGTTGGGCATAGTGACTACACTATCCTTTCATAAGCCTAGTCACAGAATCAGGTGAACTCTATTTCACTTGCCCCAATGGACCGTCAAGTTCCAGAGGGAAATTTACTTTTATCACACTAGCCCTAAAGAAATATTATGTTTTGGGTAAACAGCTCAGCTTTATTCAACCATTAACTGGTAATAACATGAAACAAAATAAAAACCGAAAGTTTAGGAGGGAAAATTTAAAACACAGAAACAACATTAAACAATGCTCGACTAAGTACTAAAGAAGACAGCAAGCGCATTGAAACATCACCAGTTTGTGTATTATATCACAGACTATATTTTTTGTAAAGAGTTTGTGTGTGTATGTGCATGTGTGTGTGTAAGTGTTTATTTTATTACGTGGGTATAATAATTTATAAAAGCAAAAAGCCTGTATGCGCCAATCTAAGCTTGGAAAATGTATCTTTTTGTAACACATATGGTTACCAGCCAAGGGGGATAAAAATATGAAGTTTTAATTCATTGAGTTGCGGCCCCTGTGGGGCTGTGGCTCTGTTTTTTTTTTCATGCTTTTGTGAGCGATGTTACCTGTGTCCTATGTCTGTTTGAGTTTGTGTGTGTATGTGCATGTGCATGTGTGTGTGTAAGTGTTGTTTATTTTATTACGTGGGTATAATAATTTATAAAAGCAAAAAGCCTGAATGCGCCCATCTAAGCTTGGAAAATGTATTTGTTAATGTAACTAATGTATATTTTTCATTCGGGCTTACGACAATTCGGGAAAGCAGCTTTCAGGCAAAGGTCTTTCGGACATACGTAAAGCTCCCATAACCAATACGTTTGGTAGCAACTTTGGTTACAAAAGCTGTCTAAAGGATACCAGCCACCTAAAGGGATGCACTCCGGTTTCTTTTCGTAATTTTACTTTCTAGATGGGTTTTTGTCCCTAGCTAACTTTGATGGCGAACTGCTTGCTATAAATGTCTAGTTCAGGGGTCGGCAACCTTTTGGGACGGAAGAGCCAAAAGTTACAATTTACCAAATATGCCAATTTTTAAAGAGCCACTAACATTTTTATTTCAATATTATAATATTTGCTTAGGATTATATATATATATATATATAGCTTTAAATATGAAATAATATTTATTCAAATAAAAACATACACATGTTTCGCAAAAAAATAAAATATTTAAGAATTTTATCTAGCTCTGCTAGAATAATAAAATCAGTAATCAAAGTATATGACTTTAATTATTGAATACTATTTACACCATTTTCGCCTTGCATGCCTTTTGAAAGTTTGTTTAAACCTGGCTAATAATTTGTTATCAGTTTCATGCAAGACTAGATTTTTATTTGTTAGATGGCTTCTATACTTTGTATTATATTTTGTTTGGACAATTATTTTGTAATTGAAAATTGTAAGTTTGCTTTTAATTTTTTTTAAACTACTAAGAGAATATTTCTTAGATAAAAAGTAGATAAAATCAGTTGACTTGTTTCAGAATTACAATTAAGTATCAGTCTTTAGGATTTCTGTATTCTTGAAATTATATATATATATATATATATATATATATATATATATATATATATATATATATATATATATATATATATATATATATATGTATATATATGCAAGTGGCATTCGGGCATTTGTCGCATTCGGGCAAGTGTCCATTCGAGCGTTTGTCGCATTCGGGCAAGTGTGCATTCGGGCATTTGTCGCATTCGGGCAAGTGTCCATTCGGGAAATCGGCCTTCGGGCAAACGGCATTTGGGCAAGTGTCTTTCGGGAAAACGTCCGGCTCCTATATATATATATATATATATATATATATATATATATATATATATATATATATATATATATATATATATATATATATATATATATACACTGAAATATGGCGTAACTAAATATTCTAATAGAATACCGAGTGTTTATGTTTATTATTAAATCGTTCATTACCGAGTGTTGCAGAACAATATTTTTATGAGTTTTGAACATAAAATAAAACAATTATTAATATTTGTGCATGGAGCTGGTTAAGGTCATGAAATAAACTTTACATGATGCATGCGACCAACTACAACGCGCCAACAGTAGCAGAGCTGTAGGAGGATATAACCACATTTTGTTAAACATACACATTTTTAGTAGCTTACAGAGCTGTATAGGGATACAATCACATTTTGTTAAACATCCACATTTTTGTGATTTACAGCAGTGTTTCTTTCAAGCATCTCTTCGGCAGGGGGGGGGGGTATTATTATTCATATAAAGTAAAGAATCCTCTTTAGACCTAGCAATCCATTAGCCAGGTGAAGGAGAGTTAATTGTAAATCGTGAAGCTGAGCGCACTCCAGTTGCTTTGTAATAACCTGCAAACTTTCGCTAGCGTGAGGCAGGTACCCATTAGAGCTGGGTGAACTCCAGTTGCTTTATAATAACCTGCAAACTTTCGGTAGCGTGAGGCAGGTACCCATTAGTGCTGGGTGAACTCCAGTTGCCTTCTAATTACCTATATTCTTTCTCGAACTCGAGGCAGGTAACCATCAGAGCTATTTTCGTGGGTTTTTTTCAGGTCCCGCCATCCCTCTTTTATGGTATATGATTGGTTATAAGGTTTGAAATGCTCATTCATGCGTAGGGATAATCAAAAATTTGGTGAGACTACGCCTTCCATGACATCATAATTTACATAAAAGCATTTGAAATTAAACATATCCTTAAAAACATTTATGTAGCACATTTCACATTGGATATATGTTTATTTAAAAAAAAAACGAACAAAACAATGAATATTATTTTTAATAGTTTTTAAAAATTGAAAGTGTGTGTGTGTGAGATACGGAGAGAGAGAGAGAGAGAGAGAGTGTGTGTGTGTGTGTGTATGTGTGTGTGAAAGAGAGTGTGTGTGTGAGAGTGTGTAGGTGTGGATGGCTATGTCCTTTGTGCATTACTATACCTTTCCTCTCTACGCCGTTAAACTTTGGGCTTTGTTGAAAATGTTCATAGAAAGGTTTGTGCGGGAAAAAAAATTAAATCTCGTTCCCCAATGGCCAAAAAAGGCCCCAGAATAAAAATAAGGAACATGATTGAATTTTGAATATACAGAGGAATTAACTAGGCTTAGATTACATTTAACAAAAATATTAACTTGGTTGTTTCCTTTTGTCTAAAAAAATTAGTAACAAAAACAAAGACTACAGCTCGAAAAATAATTAGGAAAAAAAAGTAATTTTGTAGGGCTACTCAAATCTAAAAAATAACTAAATAACGCTCTTTTGGAAAGCAACGTCACACTTCTAAAGAATAACTTACAAAAAAACCTTCTGTTTCGTGCCCCTATGCAAATGACGCAATCTGAATCTACTTATGCTCCAATCAGTAATTGAGGTCACACATCTAAAAATACCCATTAGCTAATACGTTGTTTCAGTCAATATGGCATTAATAAACCGTCAAATAATGTTGTTTAACGTGTTAAAGAGAAAATCCTGTAGATTTTCATCACTTTGAGAATCACGCAATCTTCATCTTTTCTTACAAGATCTAATCAGAGAGTGAGATTACGAGCCTCAATATCGATCAATTACCATTAGTAATTAAATAAACCGGGAGTGATCTCCCCAAAACTTTCTCGAATATTTTTATATAACTTGAAATATAGGCATGATTTTAAATTACTTAAACTTTTAAAAATAGAATAGAATCTCATACAAAAAAAGAATTGCACACCAAGCGAACGCCAAAACAAAATGTGCATAATAGTACGCAATATTATTAGTACTTTATAAATTTACATGCGTTTTGTGAGAAATAGAAAATAGCGTAAATTAGTACTTACGGTGAACGGAATTTACTCAAAATTTGAGAGAAGGTAGAAAATTAGATCTTTTACTTACATGTGAAATTTCATTTATCTATCCTAAATAGTACTTAAGTTATAGGTTTTTGAAAAATTCAAAGTAGAAAAAGCTACACTTCCGGTTATCGGAAATCGCTCAAAAAATGATACGGATCTACGATTTTGATAAAATACGTATATATGAAATTTCATCATTTTAGCTGTAACGGTACTCAAGTTATCGTGTTACACATATATAATTACTAGCTGTATGTCATTACTAGCATTATTAGCTGTGTGTCTTTACTTCGCTATGATGTAATATAAAAGTAGCACTCTGAAGAAATAAGAAAAAAACACAATGTAGGCCGACAAAACAAAAATTGTATCAATCTAAACAAAAAAAATATATATATACACTACAACCAAAAACAATGAACGTAACACAATCTGTTTGGTAATTCTTGTAAAAAAATTTCTTACATAATAATTCCTAGGAAATTATTTAAGACAAGTGAAATAGGGGAAATAATCACTCTCTTAGTATAAATATGTACATATCTACACATTTAATTATAAATGTCAAAACAAATAAATAATTACTTTAGAATGAAATGAAATTGTTTAACACTATTCGTGTTTACAACATGTTTTTGTCTATAATCAGAATTTAATAAATCGTCATCATAAATGCTAAAGTATTACAGCGTAATGAAAGTTTTTAAAATCAGATTTGGTGTAAAAACACGCTTTTCGATATATAATAGAAACCTATTGAATAACAGCCTACATTTAACTTAATAT